ACGGTGCCCCAAAAGCCCTTTCCTTTGGGCTGGGAGCAGCTGGAGGGATGGTGGCCGGGAAGCCCCTTCCTCTGGACCAGGAGCAGTGGGACGGCGGCTCAGAAGCCCTACCTCCTGGCCAGGAGCAGCAGGACCCAGTACCGTGGTCTGGTGGTCTGGTGTCCTCTGCATCTTTGTAGTGTGGAACCAGGTGGCTGTACAGAGGAGTGGGGGAGGGAGTGTCCAGTGGATTGCTGCCGGGGCCCGAGCTGATTCCGCATGTTCCGTACGACTCATGATCTCGGTAGGGCATCTGCAGACCTGCCTGTCTGCAGCGGGCTGATTCGGCATGTTCCACGTGACTCACGACCTTGGTAGGGGGTCCACAGACCTGCCTGTCTCTGAAGCACAATTCTTGAATGTCATGGATTTTATGTTTCTGCAACATTGCTGTCTGGAACATTTCTGTGGTACCACTTCTTCTCCTGGGGGGAAATCCCTTGATGACACATTTAGGAGAGGTATCTGTGTTCACACCTTTGACACTTTTCCACTTGACTGGGTTTCTGGATACTTTCACTTGGCCATCCACACTCCAGGGCTCTCCTCCTTGCTCCAACAAGGAGACAACACTCAGGTCAAAAGGAGAGAGTCCCAGGGAGACCAGGTTCCTGTAGTTCTCCAACATCACATCCCTGTATAAAGTCCTCTGAGCAGGGGCCAGGTCTTCCCACTCCTCTTGGGAGAATTCTATGGCCACATCCCTGAATGTCAACAGACCCTGAATAACACCCATTCTTGACTCCTTTTCTTTCCTCTTGTTGGCTTCTTCCTTATGTAACATTGAGTCTTTAAAAGTTAATCCTGTTGGATGTTCCAGCAGAGTTGAGCTGATACATGGACACAGGATTCTAGGGTTCCTGGGAGAGGTGTGCAGTGCTGTGACCTCCACTCCACAGGATGCACTTCCGGGTCTGCAGGCCAATGCACGCGCAGCCAAGAGGCAGGCTATATGGTCCATTTTGGAGAATGACCCGTGTGCAGCCGAGAAGACTATATATTCTGATTTTGTGGGGTGGAACACTCTGTAGACATCTATTAAGTCCATTTGTTCAAAAGCTTGGTTCAGTTCTAGTATTTTATTGTTGATTTTTTGTCTAGATGATCTGTCTATTTGTGATAGTGGGTTATTGAGGTCCCCCACTACAATTCTATTACTGCTTATTTGGTTTTTCATGTCCCTTAATATTTGTTTTGTATAGTTGGGGGCATTAGTATTTGGTGTATATATATTTATGACATATATATTTATTGTTATCACTCCCTCTTGGATTGTTCCCTTTACAAGGATGTAATGACCTTCTTTGTTTCTCTTAATTAGTTTTGGTTTGAAATCTACTTTGTCTGCAAATAAGATAGCTACCTCTCCCTTTTTTT